TATTGTGCCAAAACGTTTGCATGCATTTTTTCTTACTTCCTTGCTTCCTTGCTTCCTTGCTTCCTTGCTTCCTTGCTTCCTTGCTTCCTTGCTTCCTTCTCTATTTTCTCCTTTTTTTTCAGAAACAATAAAACCACTCTGCATCGAACTAAAACCGTATTTATTTATTTTTTCCATTAGCTAACGCAAATCAAGGAGGCCCTTCCAAGCGTGGACGCCACAAGGCTATTTCAACTACAAAACAACGCCTTGCAAAAATACTGAAGCTAGATAAGACTGGCCGATACAAGCGATAACTGATAAAGCAGAAAACAATTAGGTGAACATTAGAAGAATAATCGCAAATAAGCGACCATTTTCCTCCTATGTATTCTACTACTAGAGATACATAATATTTACTAAGCAATATGCAGCATGCAACATGTTTACTTCTTTAAAATGGCTGCTATCATTAAGGCCTGGTTACTTTTCAAAATGGCGGCAAATAAGAAGACATGTTTACTTTCCAAAATGGCCCCACATAACAAGTGAAATTTAATTTGTCTGCATCTTGCTAATTTTGTATTATAGGGCTGTTAAGCTGTTTATTATTATTATTTATCGTTTTTTCGATATTACGCCGCGCTAATGCTATCATTAGGAAAGGAATATTTAATTGCATTACGCATTGCAATAGAATTGAAGCATTGAATCACATTGAATTAATTGTATGCTGCTGTGAAGTTTTGTATTTAAAGAGCGCTTCGATACTGGAAGCAAACTCGTGTTAGTGCATTTGAAGATCAAAGAGCAGTGAGAACGTTTTACGATCACTGGTATTTTAGAGAGAAATTGCTGTGTTGCAAGCATTCCCTACTGAGTCAAAGACAAACGAATAGCGGCCACCTTGGTGCGGTTAACAATGGATGCTAATGAGAAGCCTTTTGTTAAATACCACCAACATGGCCGCGATGACGTAACTTGCAATCCAAGAATATGCAATTTTTACTTTTTTTCTAGCTAGAAATTTTGAATTTCTTTCTCCAATTGGAGGGGGGAAATGTTAAATCCAAAAATTAATTATTTGCGATTTGCTAGATGTTGGTGCTTATCTTAAACTATGATTACAAGTATAAACGGCAAATTTGTATTATGGTTTTCAATTGAAATTTCCGGTTTTTTCGCCTGTCATTCTCTCTTTGGTGTAATTGTAGCGTTGATAAATTATTTTAGCATTGCTTAAAAATTCCAATGAATTATGTATATCAGTATAGCAATTGGTTTCGCGGATTCAACTAGTAATCCAAATTTCTAAAAATATTACCAAAAAAAGAGTGAATGTTCAAAAAAACAATGATAGCCCAAATGGTCCATTGGTTCGTGGAACTTTCCGACGGTACCTGAGACTAGTTGTTTTTGTATGAACAAAAGAAAGTCGGAAAATTGAAAAATAAAAAAATTGATAAAAACATTGGAAATATTGCCTTAAAACTTGGGRAAATTGGAGCAATTGCCATTATTATTTTTTTCCTACAAGCGTTTTACTAATAGACTTATAGTTGACCTATAGAAGCAGAAAACGTACAGAGGCCAATGAAAATTTCAGGATTTATATAAGTCCACAGATTTGCTTAAACTAAATACGCATGCGCAACCAAACATTTGTGGCAAATCACAGTCATTGATCAAAAAGATGCATATCAGATCAGGACAAAATAGAAGGAATGGTATAGTAGACCTTAGAGGAAATATTATGCGCATGCCTAGATTCCAGCAAATTTTCCAAAGTTGAAAGAAATTGTTAAAAGAAATACACATTTTCTTCGAGTATGTAAAAACTGGAAACTGTAATTTTGTGCGACCAACTAACTGTCTTAACAAACACAATATTTGAGAACCGAATTAAGAGATTTGGTAGAATTACAGTAGAACCTCTATTAAGCGGACACTCTTGGGTAATCGTCAGGTGGCCGCTAAATAGGGGTTACATTTTAATTTGCAGACATCAAAGGGTGTAAACATGCGCGTAATACGCCCTACATAAGACCATTTATCATCCTTGAAGTGGGTGTCCTTCAAGGATTGTGTAATAATAGGGACCTTAAGCTGCAGGACGGCAACGTSGGCGACAACGTCGGCGAAATTGAGGCACTTCAACCTTCTATTATTTCCTGTTTGGCCTAGTATTTTACTCAATAAGCATCCCCGTTTTAGAGTGAAATGTCGTCTTTTGGGAGCGCTTTACTTATAACGAAAATTGGCAAAGATAAGCTTTTGGCGTAACCGTTCTCTTTAGTACGTAAAAATAGGGCATTTCACGTCTTACTTTCAGCATAAGACGGCAATGATGCACAGTATTTCGTACATTCCAACGAGTATCTATTGAATAGCGCAATTAGTGCTATTGTATGTTTGCCGACGTCGTCGTCGTTGCCGTCCTGCAGCTTAAGGTCCCTAATATCTCAGACACTACCGTAATATATTTGAATTATTTATATAATGCGCGAGTAAACTATATATACTAGGTTACCTTATTTTTATTGACAAAATTGTCAACAACAAAAAAACTTTTTTGCTATTTAGGACTTCTTCTAATTCATCCCTTACATAATTATTGCATATACGAATCAATAAAGTATTTTAAATGAGTATTATTGTATTTTATGCAATTAATATATGAATATACAAGTACTGGATGAGGTTGAGCATGATATCGTAAATTATCGAAACCAAGGCTGTGTTATCTGCCCAAGCCGTAGAGACGGATAAAACGGCCGAGGTCTTGATAATGTACGATATCATGCGAAAACCGAATTCAACARTTGCTCTATTATACATTTTGTAAGCTAAGAATAAAGTTTTAATTCTGCTTTCAAAGAAATGGCAAACTTATTTCAAACGTTTCTCCATAATGACCTTGAATGGACATGGCATGATAAATACAATCTGTAGGAAAACCTACTGATATGGCATTTATCATGTCGAGTCCACAGGATTATGGATTGGCTGAGGGCTCTCGGCCAATGAGAATCGAGGTAGTAAGTAAATTGTATAACAATTGTGTATACTTGATGGTTATGCAGCACGAGTATAGTGTTCACTGCTAACGCACCAGCTCCCATTGCTGTTGTCATGGATTGAACCCCTGGACCCCCCTTTTTTTCTCAAAACTTCCTGCTCTGTGTCTTCTTATAACTTCTTCCTTGCCATTTTCCAGTGCCACTACTTGCATTACTGTCATTATGCAACTGCCACTGCACTGTGGATTCTCCTTGACGATCATAAGTGCAAAAGCAACACTGTAGATATAGCGAACTGCCAAAGGAAGAAAGAAGCTGTTTACTTGACTGAATGGAATATGACCTTTTTTGGATTCCAAGATAATGTTAGAATGAACGAAATGTTGTCCCATTTCAAACCACGTCATTCCCTTATCACTTCCTTGTTTATAGTGGTGCATGAGAAGACACATGGAGATGAAACAACTCAAACAAACAATCCATTATAGATTGACACGTAGTCTGAAATGGAAAAACATTAAGCCCAACCAAAATTGGCTAGAAATCAGTGATTAGGATTGTTCAAGTAAAGGAAGATTCTGATGATAGCATCCATTTGCGTTGCCGATGGAAACGTAAATTTAATTGAAATGTAGTGTAGTTTAACCCATAAAAAGGCTTACCTTGAAGGCAAAAACTTTCAATTTAAGGCATTAGAATGCAAAATACAAAATACATTAAAATTCACGTACCAGCGAGCATGACCAAAACCATCACATTGGCACAAATTAGGAGTACATGGACACCCACACTGTCATCTTCTTCATTCACCAATGATGACTCGTTTTCTACAGGAATTTTAAGTAACATGCCCATCATTTGATTAGCAAGTGTACCCAGTAGAGACCCGAGATGAAGCCAGTGGTCAAAAATGTATGGGACAGGCTTGGATTGGGCAAAGAAAATAGCATAAAAGCCAGAAAAGATGGCTGATATGCCCAAGAATGACCGTCCTTCTCGACCAGAATGTACAACCACAGCAGTTAAAATTAACTTGCGCACCAGTTCGATTACTTCCCAGTACCAGCAGTCGGTGCTGTAGTTTTCGTAGATGAACCTCATGCCAACTGACACCTCATTTTCTTCTTTTCTCTTCTTTTCCTGCTTCAAAAGAGCTTTCTTTGTTAGCTTACGTTCACTGAAGCCCTTTACGGACGCGGTTGCATTTTTATACTGCACGTGGTTTCTGCAGTACTTCCACAGCATGATAACAGTGACCACTGGAAACAAGACGGGGATAAGCAGAGCAAAGAAAGCCAAAAGAGCGTACTTGTTGTAGACTGATGTGTAGCACTGGACAGAGTAATCTGATCGTAGGTACCAGTTACATGTTTGTTGGTTGTCACAGACCTTAGTGCATCCAAATGGAAGAACTTGGAACACCTTCTCACATGTTGCTGGATAGGTAACAAACAGAAAAAGAAACACTGCACGGTAACAGTTAGCTTTACAGGCGAAAAGATTTTTATTCCTTTCTTCCTGGTTGACATTCTTCATTTTTAAGAAGACTTTCCTCGCATACAGGTATCCCATGGCAAGCAATATGACCAATACGTTTAGAGATACATACGTCACAAGACCAACGTACGGTGTGATCTTGATGGAGTGACTCAGACATTCCATTGGAACAAGTTTGAAGATGTTCAGCTGCACTACATCTGCAAACTTCATCAGCTTCGTTAATGCTGTAGGCCACTGGATGTACGAGTAAGCTCGTAGTGTACCACTTGTAACTTGATAAAAGCCAATGACTATCTTAAGACTACTGAAGATGTTATCTGCCGCAGAGCGTTCACTTCTGGCTTTTTTGTCTTTGACAATCACAAAGGTGATAATAGCCACAACTATAAAGACGGCAAGACATTGTCCGACAAAGAGGTACACAGATGGACACTCGTTGCAACCAGAAAACATCTTGTAGAAACCTCTTGAGCAGACAGCACACAGAATTCCCTCGTAGCCATGGGAACAATTAGCGTCAAATCCTCCCTTTGAAAGAATATAAAATATATAATACACTATAATCAAAATCAGGAACATGAGCATTAGTATCCCCTTCATGATAAAAAGCGAATTATAARGTGGTATATCGACAGCTCATCTTTTAAATAGGATAATGTGGAATCAGATTCAAGTCAAAGTTATGTATCTTCATCAGTTTAACATGGTGAAAAGAAGATTTGGACGAGAGGAAATGTAATGAATTACTTTTTTACAATGTCAATTGTTTCTGACAAGTTGATTGGCTGATATATCCCAAAAAAATCCGATAGATGTGATTGTAGATTTGTTATTAGGTAATAGGAAAAACCTCCTTAGTTCTGGAAGAATCAATTAGAAATACCACTTGTATTTGATGAGGTGGCATCATAGCACGAGGTCGAAATAACACTTAGGTATAAAGCCACTCTAATCAAATATAAGTGGTAGTTTTCATTAATTCTTCCAAAAAAAATACCTTGCATGATCCTATGAATGGGCACGGGTATGCTGGAGGAAGGATTTCGTTGAAGCTTTTCAATTCGGCATCGTAGCCCTGGTTTTCCTCTTGCAGCTTTGCAGAGAARGTTATGTATGATTTCCTGACTTCGTCTTCACTCCATATCCAATAAAAGCCGGGACGTAAATCAACCGTCTCGTTGATCGATTTGTAACCGAGAGGAGATTCCATGCACCTTCCAAAGCGATCAAAACGGTAGAAGTTTTCCAGGCAAGGGCATGCCCTGAATCCAGCAAATCTTTTAAGATTTGTGCCTTTATAAGAATTAAAAACGAGAAATATTAGTTTGCATTTCTAATCTCCATTTCTGCAATATCATCAACACCATAACGGACCACCACCACCACCATCTTATAATTATCACCTACACCWTTATAAAACCATCAGCAAAATTACGACTAACCCCACCAACCAGCACTATGCCTTTACCACCAATGTTACCGCAAAAACAGCTACAACATGATAATAAACCATACTGAAATTCCCAAAATATATAACTTCCTTCTTGGTTTCGCGATAAACCTTGAGATCAATTTTTCCCTTTAACACTATATTTTCTTCGCACTTGTGTCGAACGTACAATTCACGATGAACTCTGAACACACACACTACTGCAACTTCTTATATAGTCTTTTACAATCTTTTTAGAATGTTCTAACATTCCATCATAGAATTTTCCAGAAATTACGATAAACAAGTCAAGCTTAATCTATAAATAGACACTTTATGATCCTAACTTACTAGAACTTTCTATAACAAAGGCTATTCAAGAAAGTCCTGGAAAATCTAGAATATTCTATAAAACGTGCTTATAATCATTTCTTCTGTCCACTTCTCACATCAAAGATAGTATGTAATGATGAGCAAAAAAGGAAAGAAATCCCACCGAATTAAATATGTTTTCTTTTAAAATCCGATTATT